TTCCGGTTACAAAATCTCCGGTAACGTGCAGAATAGACCTGTTATTGGCAAGAGTGATTCTGCGTTGGATTTCAATGCTGACATTATTATTGGTGTTAATGCTGGTTCCCAAGTAAACGAAATTCTTTACTTTCTCGAAATTTTAACTGTCAACAGTGACGTGGGTGCCAAGGCGCGAATGTGCTGACTGTTTGTTTGATGACAGGAGATACTTCGTCTTGTCCTCGTTTACCACCAGACCCATTCGCTTTGCTTCCCTATCCAACTTGGAAAAGGCAGAACAGACTTCGCGGTTTTTGTTACCGATGATGTCGATGTCACCGGCATAAGCCAGCAATTGCACGCTCTTGTAGTAAATTGTCCCTGAGCGATTCAGTTCTACAGCTATTATTAACTTCTCCAACATCAGATTAAAGAAGTCACATGAAAGAGAGTCGCCCTGTCTGAAACCCCGTTTTGTGGCGAACGGTTCGGAGAGGTCTTTCCCAATTCTGACGGAGCGTATTGCTCAACGTCAATTTACACAGCCGCATGAGTTTTAAGGGGATGCCAAATTTAGACATAGCGGCGTATAGGCAACTCCTTTTAGAGCTGTCAAAAGCGGCTTTAAAGTCGACAAATAGGTGGTGAGGGTCGATCCTTTTTTCGCGGGTCTTTTCCAGGATTTGGCGTATTGTGAATACCTGGTCTATGGTGGATTCGCCAGGTCTAAAACCACACTGATAAGGCCCAATTAGTTCATTGAAGGTGGGCTTCAGTCTTTCACACAATACGCCCGATAAGACCTTGTAACCTATGCTTAGAAGGCTGATCCCGCGGTAGTTGGCGCGAATGGCGGGGTCACCTTTCTTGTGGATTGGGCAGAGCACACTTAAATTCCAGTCGTCGGGTATGCGTTCATCTGACCATATTCCGCATAAGAGTTGATGCATGCACCTTATCAACTCCTCGCCGCCGTACTTGAATAGCTCAGCTGGTAGGCTGTCAGCTCCAGCGGCTTTGTTGTTTTTCAGCCTCGTCATAATCAGGCGGTGGAACGACGACTCCGTCATCATCGACTACGGGCTGGGGTTCCCGTCGATCTCCTTAGCTGCTTTTAAATGATGTCGTCACAAGTTGCTGGCGGAGATATGAATACAGTGTTAGAAAATTCCTTTTCTATAATTGTTTCCTTATAGAAAGTTTGGTTTCTTTTTCACCTCAGACATTCCGAATTCGTTGAAAATATGCTAATTCAATACACAGACTTCCTTCAGTTTTCCTCCGGGATTTTTGGACATGGACTGTTTCTTCAATTTAATAGTGTTCGCTTTATTTTTGTGGAAACGAAACATGTTTTGCAAGTTTTGGATCATTTCTACACTGTTTCTTCAAATATTTCTCGTATTCCAGCTGCGTTTCTCGTTTGGGTTTTCGCATCGTGTTTTACTATATTCATAGTTCTAAATTTTTAATTAAATGAATTGGTTGTAGTTCATGATTGTGTGCGGATTAATAGCAGCACACTGAGGATAACAATAACCTTTTTCATCTATTAAAAACCAACACTTACGGGGCAATGCTTATTGTAAGAACAACATTTTTTTCTACGAATCGAAATAATTGAAGCATTGTTGACGCTATTGCCATTTGAATGAGGAAATAGCGACAATGACTTTATTTATAAATTTTTGTTGACTTCATTTCGCTTTTGAAAAGGTAATAATGTCAATTGACTTTATTTCGCACCATGGTGGGAAATTGACTTTGTTTCCGTTGATCTTGTTACCTGCCACCGACGAAATACACGCAAAGCAACAACACAAACTCGGCTATTTATCCGAGTTCAGCCAGGTCGGTTAAAAAATACGCGACCTGAAGAGTAGTGTTGTTAAGTGAAAAAAATGCCCTATTGTGAATTGTTAATGGGAAAGTGGAGAGGAAAATTTTTGTTTTCGTATATACATGATTTATATTTCAAATAAGTATATATATTAAGCAAATACCTCGCATAATTACTAATTTATCTTGTTTATTGAGTGTAAATCCAGTTGAACTAATCACATGGTTCTTGTCAGCTACCAGCAGGGTTGCTTAAGTAGCTAAAAGGAAACTTTACCCGAGTTGAGCGGTCTTTTGTCGCTCGCTTACAAAAAATGCAGCTGGAATATCTGCTTGATAAAGTTATCGGTTTAGATGAATACCACTATCGACATACCTAACAACAAGAGACGGCAAAATTTCTAAATACATTGTGAGACGAGTTGACTTAGGTGGGTTATACACGCAAGAAACCAAAGCATTAGTAGTTACAACTCAACGAAAATGTATTCAATGCCATCTCCACTTGAGATCTAATCTTGGTGTCAATGTAGCTCTTACAATAGACCGCCACACCACCAACTCTCTTCCCTGTCCCTGTCATTTCGGACAATATTGTAATTTTTTAGGCTATAGCATACATCGCTCACATCATTTAAAAACCAGGTTTCAGAGACACACACAAAATCTACGGAAGAGCTTTCAAAGA